GTGGAAAAAGAGTAGCTGGAAATGGTGAAGTTGACATCGCAGCTACTCTCATAGGAGGTAGAAACAGAAAGTATAGTACACAGGTTCGGGGGGGTGCCCTTTTTCGTCGTGGTTCGGGCACGTTTTGGAGATGAAGAAGGGCACCCTCGAAGGAAGGGAGGGGTAGTAGCTTGCTGTGCGGTGCCAATCAGTGAGCAAAGATGGTTATGGGGGCCAAGCTTTCGGGAGGAGACGTATATGTATATATAGGTAGAGGCTGGAAGTGGTGAAGTGGATATTGCAGCTACTGGAGCGCCGAGATGGAGGGATTGGCTGACATCGGGCAAAGCATACGTTTGAGTTGACATGGTAGCCACTTTATAGGAGGTATAAACAGAAAGTATAGTACACAGGTTCGGGGGGGGCCTTTTCGTCGTTCGGGCTCGTTGAGGTGAAAAAGGACACCCTCGAGTGGTAGCTTGCTGTGTGGTGCAAATCAGTGAGCAAAGATGGTTATGGGGGGTCGAGGGGCGAGGTTATCCGAAGTGTTTCGGGGGGGGACACAGATGTATCCGTGTAGAGGGCTGGAAGTGGTGAAGTTGATATTGCCGCCCCTTGAGCGTGCAAGATGAAGTGATTGGTGATCGTTGGGGAAAGCGTATCTCGATGTAACGTAGTGAAGTGGATATTGCAAACGTTTGCATAGGAGTATATAGAAAGAGAAAATAGAATAGAAGGTTGGGGGGTGCCTTTTTTTTTGTGTTGGTAGACCACGTCCAACGCTTGCCCACTGCCCACTGCAATCTGTTGTCTCTCCTGCCCTCAACAGATGGCATCATGCACCCCATGTGGAGCGCCGTTTACTCGGGCAATTCAACGCTTACCCGCTGCAATCTGTTCTCTAGCGCGCCCTCAACAGATGGCATCATGCACCCCATATGGGGTGACCTTTTGAGTCCAGCAACTAGAACACCCCTAAGCAACTCGCCCCCAACGCTTGCCTGCTGCAATCGGTTCTCTCTCTCGTGCCCTCAGAACCTTCCTGCCTCATCCACGTGACCCCTCCCCGCATAGGGAGTGCCCTCTTCAGTATGGCAACTACGCTAATAGCTTGCCCGCAACTGCAATCTCTTCTCTTTCCTGCTCTCAAGTGTAGGGTGAGTTCTAACCACTTTTCCCCTCCCCTTGTCTTCCCTTTTCGACGTGAACTCTTTCCACCGCACATGGGATGCCCTTTTCAGTCCGGCAACTCAACCCGCTGCAAGCTGTTCTCTCGCGCGCCCTCAACAGATGGCATCATGCACCCCATATGGGGTGCCCTTTTGAGTCCAACAACTAGACCTTGCCACGGATAAAAAAGGGGCGCCTCTAAGCAATTCAAAACCTTCCGCCTCCAACGCTTGCCCACTGCAATCTGTTCTCTGCCCTGCCCTCAACAACCCCCCCAAGCAACTCAAAACCTTCCGCCCGCAACTGCAATCTGTTCTCTTTCCTGCTCTCAAGTATAGGGTGAGTTCTAACCGTAACCACACGTCCCCTTGGCTTCCCTTTCCTTTCATCCACGTGAAGTTCACCGAACAGTTCACATGGCCTCCTGAGCCCCTCAGATGCTGATGATGCACTCGTCGCCGTGAATTACATCACTTGCATCACAACACCCCCAAAGCCACTCATTTTCACTACCTCCGGGCCACCTCTTTTTTCCCGAACGTGTCGCGAAGGGTTCTCGTTTAACTCCTGGGGGTCTCAGGTAGAGCCTTTTTCGCGACCCGTTGTCTCAGCGTCCACAACCGTCCTCAACCGTTCGCCGCCGACCGCAGTAGGACGCTAAGGCTGCTGCAATGGGGGGAAGGTTTTGGAGAGGGTTTTGCATGGAAGCGTGACGTGTCAGATTCGTGTGAAATAGCGAGGAAACGTGTGGAAATGTCAGCTGTTGAAGTGTGGAGGATGATTTCACTGCGCAGGCGCAGCGTTTTGTGAGATCCGCAGTTTTCTGTGCAGTTCCATTGGGGTTAGCGTTTGGAGAGTGGTGTTTTTGGGTGTTGGATGTAGCTGTGCCATTGGGGGTTGCGTTTCAGGGTGTTGCATCGAAGCTCTGTTCAGAACGGGTCGCAATCATTCCAACCGGTTGAAGCTCACGTGATATGATATTGATATTGTCACTTTTCGTGGCAGGCGTAGAACTTTGTGCGGGCTTTTAATTATGGAAGCGCGATTTTCGTGGCAGGCGCAGGGAATCGTGAAGTTGCGAGGTGTGACGGAGGTGACATTTCGTGGCAAGCGCAGTACTTTGTGCGCGTTAGACGTGTGGGCGCGGAAAGTTTCGTGGCAGGCGCATGGAATCGTGAGGTTGTGAGTTGTGATAGAGGTGAATGTCGCTGTGACATTGGGATTGGCGAGCGAGCGGGTGTTGTTTGGAGGGGCTGGAATCGCGAAACTGCTGGGCAGGGCTGCTTGATGTTTGTGCTCCGATGGAGCTTCCCGCTTGACTTTTGGAGGAAGCCTTGTGCGAAACGCTTGTTTTGCAGACTTTGACATGTGAGTTCTTGAGGAAGTCTCGTACGAAACGCTCGTTTTGGAGACTTGGCGTGTGACTTTTGGAGGAAGTCTCGTGCGAAACGCTTGCTTTGCGGACTTCAAGTGTGAGTGTTTGAGGACGTCTCGAGCGAAGCACTCGTTTTGGAGACTGACTTGACGTGTGACTTTTGGAGGTATCGCGGCGTGCCACTGGTGAGCGGGATGATTGTTGGTATCGTGTGATACGTTTGCTTCTAGTATGTGGCGGACCGTGTGGCGGAATTACGTCTGCACAGTGCCATGCGGATTTGCGCGGCCTTGGTGGAAAGTGCATTTGCGATGCGCCGTGCCACTGGGGAGCGCGAAGCATGCTGAGAGTGTCACAGAAGAGTGTCCCACAAGAGTGTCCTACAAGAGTGTCCTCCAAGAGTGTCCTAGGTCCTAGAAGAGTGTCCTACAAGAGTGTCCCAGAAGAGTGAACCACAAGAGTGTCCCAGAAGAGTGTCCCGTAAGAGTGGCCCACAAGAGTGTCCCACAAGAGTGTCCTACAAGAGTGTCCCACAAGAGTGACCCACAAGACTGTCCTACAAGAGTGTCCCGCAAGAGTGTCCCGCAAGTGAGCCCCTTAAGAGTCTCCCACAAGAGTGTCCCACAAGCGTGTCCCACAAGAGTGTCCCGCAAGAGTGTCCCAGAAGAGTGTCCCACAAGAGTGTCCCGCAAGAGTGTCCCAGAAGAGTGTCCCAGAAGAGTGTCCTGTAAGAGTGACCCACAAGAGTGTCCTACAAGAGTGCCTGACAAGAGTATCCCACAAGAGTGTCCGACAAGAGTGTCCCATAAGAGTGTCGCACAAGAGTGTCCTATAAGAATGTCCCATAAGAGTGTCCTACAAGAGTGCCCCGTAAGAGTGACCCACAAGAGCGTCCTACAAGAGTGTCCCAGAAGAGTGTCCCAAACGAGCATCCGACAAGAGTGTCCCACAAGAGTTTCCCGCACGAGTGACCCACAAGAGTGTCCTACAAGAGTGCCCCAGAAGAGTGCCCCACAAGAGTTTCCCACACGAGTGACCCACAAGAGTGTGCCAGAAGAGTGTCCTGTAAGAGTGACACACAAGAGTGTCCTACAAGAGTGCCAGAAAAGAGTGCCCCACAAGAGTTTCCTACAAGAGTGGCCCACAAGAGTGTCCCACAAGAGTGTCCCACAAGAGTGCCCCACAAGAGTGTCCGACAAGAGTGTCCCATAAGAGTGTCCCACAAGAGTGTCCTACACGAGTGTCATTTGGATGTATGTAGCTTTTCGAACGTGTTTGCATTCGGGTTTGTGGGCTCCATCTTGTTTTCGCTCTCCCCCACCAGGCTCTGGGTTAGCCTCTCCGAGATTGCCCCTCTCGCAACCCACCCCACACCCCTTTAACTCACTTCGTTCGCATAGCTACCTCAAGCCTTGCCTATCGGCTGGCTTTCGTGATTATTATATAACTGAAAAAATGAAAGTTCTGCCGGCATGAGCAAGTCCAAGAAGTGACAACTGCTTGAGAAACGTGGTATGCCCACACCCTATGCATGGAGATGATCACAATGAGGAAACACATGTGAAGCACCTGCAGAGCGCCGCGTCACCCCAAGTGTAGAAGGCAAAGGTGCTCTCTGCTATGGAATAATATGGATCTTGGGGAACAGCACAACAAAATCATGGCCTGCGATGATGAACATCAGTGTCAGGTATGGACACTATAGCCAGTACCGGGTCAGTACCACCCATTAACATATCAGCCTAAAGCGGCTTCTTGAAGAAATCATTGGTTGTGCTTCAACCTGTCGTGTAGCAGCGACCAGGCCAAACCAGCCGTGTCCAGGATGCATGTGAGGTGACGAGTTGAGAGACATTCGTCATACCAGTGCAGTTTGCCTCAATCAGACTGGCTGTGCTGGAGCCTCTGCCAAGATCAGCAAAGCCCACCGCCAGCTCTTAAGGTCGAATCATGTCGAATCAGAGGGAAAGCTGGAGCGATCAAGGAAGTGCTTCAGATTCACCACTCCCGTTGTCACTATTTGGAGGACCCAAGAGGTGAAAGGTTGAAGCCGTAAACACAAACGTAGTCACAGCAAAGCATATATCATGTAATTTTATGTTTAAAACATTCGTATATACAGTAAAATAAACTTCCCATCATCGCAAGCAAAATTGGTCGACAATGCGTTGGCATGAATCACGCATGAAAATGCCATCTCCAGCCTGACAAGAACCTAAAACAACTTCTTGGTTCAGCCCAATCAACAACCCCGAAAAGGAGCAAGTACCACAACAGAACGCTGAACTCGTACGCCTCCACCCCCCTTCGTGCGCACAACCCAAATGTCAAGGCTTTCGCACACACAATGCACGGAAGAAAGTCCTGAAGATGTCATTTGATTAATCACTTTTGATCTGCATTCTGCATTCTTTTCATTGCCGCCCTTCTCTCACAACACTTTGATGAACTACTGTAAAACCCCCAAAACCAACGCCTGCAGCTGCTCAAAAATAGCCAGCGTTGTCACAGGATCTGTTGCTGAAATCAAAGCCCCAAAGCTCAACGCCTGGCCAGGCCACTTTGTCGGCCAGGAGCCCCTAGTAGCGTCCTTGCTCCTAGTACGGCCAGGAGCCCCTAGTAGCTTCTTGTTTGACTCAACTCTCAGCTTTTTCAATTGTAGTTAGGGAAAGTCGTCACCTCGGGCAATGAAATGCTGCTGGGTCCATCCGGCGCATCCGGGGCAAAGGGCAGAATGCCTGAAACAGCCACCTTGGCGAACAAATGAAAAGGCGAGACAGGCTCAAGCAAAAACGACGGTCACTGAAAAAAAATATCACGAACCCCAACAGCCAAGATTGGCGACAAAGTCCTGCAATAACCGTTGGGCCTTGAGCCCCTATCCATGTCACTTCCTCTCAGTGTGTAAGATTGACATCCGGGCTGTGGAAACATCCAAGTACATCACCGAGGTGCGCATATTGGCTAACAAAAATTTGAGGAGAGACGCTGAATACAAGTAGGGCAACTAGGCAACCTATAGCATATGGAAACGCGGCTCATGCCATGAACTCCGATTCTTGAATATAATATATACGAGTTACGAGAACATACGAGAGTCGAGCTATGCTGTCTAGGATGCCTGGAGTGCTTTCCACTAGCTGGCATCAGTCCTTTTCGAGTGTGCTTCCCGCACACATGTAAGGGGTTCGGACACAACAACACAGGCTAATCATCTCTAGTCATGACCTCGTTGAAGGCCCTCCACGGCACTAGCGTTAGCAGGGGCACGCATGACATCAGCACGGGGAACACTTGGCTGAGTCACTGAGCTGCGGATTTCCTGCATACTTAGGACTTTCTAGAGCATCGGCGAAACAAAATGCTTAGCATTCGCCCTAGCATACAGCGCAGTGCAACTGCGGCGCTCACGTCTTGAGGATCAAAGGTCCAAGGCACACTATCGGGACATGCAACATATGATCAATAAATAATTACTACTGACTGACTACCGTAAATTGCAAAATGTGTTTTCAGTCCTTTGCACCGGAGTAGATAGACTATGATAGACTATGATAGGCTTATTGCTACAAACAGAAGCACGCCTGTGCAATGTCACCAGACCCGCACCCAACGTCCAGGAAGATACAGTAAGCCAATTATCTAAATGTCAGGCAAACGACTTTTCCCCAGTCGGCATGGCTCAGTGTTCCAAAACAAAGGCAGCTCGTCCTGCCTAAACGTGCATTCTTATGAGGCGAGGCACGAGTAGAAATCCCACTACCAACGAAGAGAGCAACGTGCCCACAAAAGCCAAAACCATAATTTTGTCAATGTTCGCCTCAGTCAGTCACGAAACGGCAACGTCACGACATCACATCACAACACACCGACTGATGCCCCCATGAAGCCTTAGGTGCAGGCCCAAAAGAAGGCGCCACGCATTCGGAAGCCCGAGTCGAAAATGATAGGAGGCAACAAAACACAGAATAGCACCTGCATTCACAAGCTCTCACCCTCTTTCGCTCTCCCTTTTTTCATAGCTCTCTCGCTGCGTTTTCTGCGTGTATATATATATATTTTTTATATTTATTAAATACATTTTTAATGTACAGTATATATATATATGATAATATAATATAATATATGTGCATTGTGAATCAGTCATCTTTCAAAAGCTGCGTGGCACCGTGGACGAGAAGCCAACCACGGAGTGCTGTACTTCCTTCTCAGAAAAACGATCACCTCACTCTCATGCAAAACAGCTGCCACATGTCAGCAGTGCTAAGATCACCATAGATCACCACTGGCAAGAGGTCGTCACAAATTTTCTGCTGCTTATGTCAGACGAATCATGACATGCCGCTACACCACCAAATCATACACGATACAAAATCAGCCAGCTTTTTTTAGCCAGGTTGCTTGCGTCCTCCCGGACCAGCAGAGTCAGCAAGCCTCGTGGGACATCAGCGTGGATCACATGGAATCAGGCGCCAGCTATATCACTTACGGTCAGAATGCTTTAAAATACTCCATGTATCTCAATAGCTTTGTGCAATGTGTCAATTCATGCCTGTGCTTTTTAGCATTTTGTTCGCCTCCTCCGAGAAAGCCAACTAGCAGCGACGCGCCAGCTTCTGAGAAGTAGGTGCAGGAGCGGCATCGAGTGGCCAAGCAGAAGGATAAGCAAAATGAAACCAACAGAAGGACCTGAGCAAGCCTACAAGGCTATGCACACCACTCGAGCTTTTGCCACCTCATCACTCACATTCTGCTTATCTTGATCTTGCTGGGTCTCCAAGCCAGGTAGATACAGTACGATGTAGCTGCCAAGGATTCCCGATCAACCATGGCTGTGCGCAGTCCATGATGCAAGCCGATTTGGCCAAGGAACACTTCAAGTCAAAGTTCAACAAAATCATGTTTCTCACAAGAAACTTTTTGGCTGCACCTTCAAGAAATTAAGGTCTGGAACGGTCTACGAGTCTCTCAGCAACTCCCCTAGGAAGTACACAACTCTCAAGGGTAGAATGATCCGCTGCCCTTGTCCTTACAACAGTATTGTATTGTTCAACAGCGGCCCAAAAGAGATTGGGTGCTGATCTTGTGTATGCGGTGCTGTCCCACGCTTGAAATGCCGGCCAGCGGCAGGACAAATTGTGCACAGTCACAGTAGCTCTCTTGCTGCCTTCAGGAACTTGATAAAGGCAGGACCAAGGACCAAGTGTTTCTAGAAACCGTTTCGAGAAGCTTACTTGAATCACTGCATATGGCTGCCGGATGCTTCCAGCCCCTCTCGCCAAACCAATGATCTCTCTAATTATTGGCTTCATTTCTGAACATCAAAGACAAGACCTTAAACAGTGTCCAGCTTCCTCCACCACTTGAGGCCTGTGCTTAGTACTTCAGTTTCCTGGCAAAAGATAAGACATGCACTGCAAAGATCAGAAATGCATGAAATATAATGAAATCCATAACCACGGATCGGAACTGCACCATACAAAGCTCCTGTTCAATATGGCCGCCCGGATGGTCACCTTGTTTGTTCTTCCCCCTCGCTACGCTCGCTTGAAATCTCCGTTCTGCTTGCCATTCCAAGCATACTTTGAGGGATGCAAAATTGCTTCCGCCCAGGCTCATCAAGTTGAGTGCCATACCGAGAAACATACAAGGTCCCAGTATCTGGACTCTCGCAACAGAATGTGATTGTTGCGCTGATGATTGTATTTTGGTTTTGATCCAATTTGAGATAGCATGTCAGTGCTTAATGCATGGAATGACTATTGAATCATTAATGGTAACTTACAAATAATGGTATGTATCAGTGTCGGCAATGGCGCTGGGCTCCGGGAACAGTCCGGTCTCATTCCGGTCTCTAGATTTGCAAGGTGGGTTTTGAAGAACCCTCAGAGATTGGAAAGGGCGAAGGCACTGATTGCGGCAGCGGCAACATGGCATGCATGATGAGAGCATCCCAGCTTCCATCCTTGGCCTCTTCATTCTGCTGGTATGAAGTTGTGTTCCCCCACTGCCATGGTGCTGCGTTGGCGTAGCTGTTGGACCACTCAGACCAGGTCGCCTCAGGTGCTGGGCCAAGATCATCCTTGTCATCCTCATTGCCGTAGACGAAGACCTCGATGTATCGACCTCCAACATATTGATGGTTCAACGCCTTCCGTGCGACTTCGGCATCCCTTCGGCTTCGCATCTGGACTACAGCCTGCCCTGAGGGCCTGCCATTGGCTTTGGGAAGCAACTTGGCAGAATTGGGCCCGTCATGGATAGTGTCGGCCACATTGTGCTGGGCAAAGAAGGTCAGAACATCCTGCACAGTGACGCTGAAAGGCAAACCTCTCAAGCGCAGTGCAGCCACAGCACTCTTGTCTACGACAGCTTCACCTGCATCCTTTGCATCGCTTTCTTCTGCGAAAGGGTGGCTCTGGGGATGCAAGTGGGCATGGCTTCTGGACATTGGAACGCCCTCAGCAGGTGGAGGTTTGTTGATCTTCTTCTGCTTTGAACTCACTGCGGTGGGTCCATTCTCCATCCAGGGCATCCATTGCGAAGTCCAGGGTGGAAAGCTGTAGGGCGGCCAACCCTCACCAAACTGAAAGTCCATCCCCATGGCTCCGGAGTTCACCTGCGGAGTGCCCCAATCACTCGGCGTTGCAATGAAGTGACTTCCAGAAGGCGGAGGCCGGGTCGGTGACATCAGCCTGGTATTGGGAGTTGATGGTTCCTCTTCAGTCACGGTCCCATCTTGAAGGCCGTAGATCAAACCATCAGGATTTTGCCAAATGACCTTCTCACATCCCTTTGGCCCTTCAACCCGGAATTCATTTGGGAAGCGGGCCAAGAAATGCTTCAACCCCAGATTGGCACGGCGGAGGTAGTTGCGTGCTGGATCTGTCAAGGCTATCCCAAGCATGCTGAGCAAAGTTTGACTTCTGCCTGGTGCGCTCAGATGTTCTCGACATTCGCTCAAGACCCTTTCGTTCTCTGCTTGCTCTGTTGCAGCATCAAGTGGTGCCTGTGGCACCGGTTCTTTCTCGTCGATGGTCAATTTCTTCCGGCCCTTCCCACGATCTGTGGCCAAGACCTCAACGTAACGGTCTCCCATCTGCTTCCTGTGCAAGGCATCTTTGCATTTGTATGCAGCCTGTGGACTCACAAAGAAGATGCGAGCAAAGCCTGAAGGCCTCCCATCGCGATTTGAGAGAAGGCAAATGTTTAGTTTCTTCTCAGGATTCAGGTATTTCGCATGGTCTCCAAGGAAGCCCTTGACATCCTCGATGCTAGCTCTGAATGGGAGCCCCCTCAACTGCACGGAGCAGGGATTTGAATTGTCCTCATCCCCCATAATTGCATTGCCATTGTCCTTTTCCACTCGAGCATTGGCATTGTTTATACCTCCAGTAGTTGGGGCCAGTGGCACGGGCTGCACCGATGCGCCAGGGGCTGGCTGCGGTGGCTTCTCGGGCTTGTCCTGGTTGGAGCTGGGGGAAGCAGCCTTAGCCAGGGCCAACACCACCCGCTCCTCGCCCTTGGGCCCTGTAAGCTGGATGATCTGCGGATAGCGCTGGAGCCAGTTGCGTGTGACATCGATGCTTCCCGCCAGGTGGGCCAAGTGGGCAGGCAACTTGTCATGGAGCTCCGTCAGAGGTAGCCCTTGGCTCTGGTACGGCCCCAAGATTTGAAGTAGATCGGCCAAAATGGAAATGTCACTTGGCACTGCATTCTCGCCATCATCACGGCGGTCGTCCATTGCTTGCCCCTGCAATGGTCTAAACCCGCCCTTTTTGGAGCACCCACCCCGAAAGAAATAAAAAACAAACTACAATATGACAGTATGCTTGAGTGTTTTCATCCCAGCGTGTTGTGCCACCGTCACATTGCAAGTTGTCAATCAACTTTGTTCTGCTTTCGTGAACTTGACTCCTAAAGTGTTTCATGCAATGTATACAGTATACAGCATACTGTATATACAGTGGTTTAAATCATACATATATATATAAATACCTATATATACACTGATATTATGCTATAACGGACTATATGTTTATATATATATAGCTCTCTTGATATTACTGCTGGGCTACAGCCCTTTCCGAAGCACTTCGGTGCATCCTCTGTTGGGGCATGTGCTTAGCACGCCTTCTAGTTCCTGCATGTGCCCAAATAAGGATTGGGAGCTTCTAACTTCTACGGAACCCGAAGGTCCGCTTTATTTTGTCGCGTCGGCCGTGAAGAAAAAGAGCCAAAAGTAGCACACAACTAACTCACAACTTTTTTGAGCCGGGTTCATCCATTGCTCGGTACTCTGCAAAAAAGAACGCTGTTTTAAACAAAGAATACCCCATCAACCCTGTGAAAGCGGCCCAGCTAGTCACTCAGTTTGACAGGGAAACAATTTTTCTGGCACAGGTATGAAACTGTAGGAATCTGCCTCTGAAAACCCTGCAAGCGGCAACAAGGCCAAAGCTTCAGTGTTCCTGCTTCACCACCTCGGCTGCTGGCAATCCAAAATATATAAAGCATCCAAGTGAGAGGCCATGAATAAGACTTGACATGATAATGATAATATTCTTGTAACTGTTTGTAGATATGCTTCAGGAGTATATAATTTGGGTGAGTGTCGTTGCTGACGATGTTACAGCTGCAAAAAGCTCTAGAATCTAGAAGGTCTAACGGACCGTGCTGACCAGCTGCGGGCTGTTTCAGAACTTGTTTTGCTTTCTCTGGTTTGCCCAGCTCAAGTCTTCACAGCATGTCGACAGACTTGGACCTGGACATGGCCCTGCTCGGTGGTTTACCAGCGGGTTAGCGCCAGAGATGCTAGCTTTGGGTAACACGTACGCAAAGTTCTTATATACTTTCTTCAATGGATGGAAGAGGACAAAATGCGTGACTCCCTGATACTTTGCATACTGACCGGCAACTACAGTATCTGCCATGTCCAGCGAGCAGCACAGTGCATCTACACGAGTGAAACGAACAAACCTGTAGTGCAAGCATCTGCGAGTGCAAAGCAAAGGCCAAGCTTGTTGGGAGCGAAGCATCGTCTGCAGGATTCTGCAAGTAAAACCGAATGATTCCAAAACCGATGATCTGACGTAGGCACTTTGCCTGTGAAATGAATTGTTGAGAAACCTGCACTGCATGCCGATCTCAGCAAACACTATCAGTCAACGTCTCCATGTGCAGACCCCCAAATGGGCAGCCCAAGTCTCTTCATGTCTGAGTTTACGGACTCTCCGTTCAGCGTTGTACCCTAGTTGCTTAACATCTATGTCCTTGTCATTGCTGAGGCAGTGGGAGCTGTAGCCATACTTTCAGGCTCGGCGGTGTGAACCTCCGCTGATCAGCTAGAATAGAGGAGTGAGACAAACGGCTTGGGCTTTGCCACAAGCCAGTGAACATCACTCTGCTGCCAAAACTACTTCTGATTCTGTTTACCCAGCCACAGCGTTTTCTTCCGTCTCCCATCTCACAAACTTGTCCTCCTGCCAGTAACCCACCTGCAGCAAGAAAAAACCTTGCAATACCTCACAACTGAGAAGACTCTGTTTCTCAACACTTGCTCAGCAGCATTGCGAAGCAAATTGCAGTGCTCCGTGCGCATTTATGCTTGTGGATCCTGCGTATCGCTCGGCAAAAGTGTGAGTGTGGTACGCAATTATGACGCACATGTGAAGATAAATAAACATATTATACAAAATTATATGTATATATTTATATTTATGTTGGGCAGTGGCAGCCATACATGACCAACCATCAAATGATTTTGTTTGTGAAAAAAAGCGGAAAAAAAAGGCAAAACAAAAGCAACTGAAAATGCAAAAGCAGCGCAATTTGCTTTGTTTTGCTGTTTTTTTGCTTTTTTTCTGGTACCACTTCAGCACTTATGAGAACTTTTACCCGTCAGCAATATTTGCTGTACCCTCCTAGGAAAAAAGCGACAAAAAAGCGAAACAAATGCGAAAATCAAGCGAAACAAACATGAAAACAAACTCGGAAAAAAAAAAAAACGAAACAAATGCGAAAATAAAGCGGAAAACAAATGAACAGAAAGCGACAAATACGCACAGCTATATGTTTTGCTTGTTTGTTTGCTTTACCTTTTTTTTTGTTGCTTTGTTTTTGCTTTAAAAAATTATGTTGGCTCCTTGTATATATCTATGGCTGGCGTGCCCGACATAATTATATACATATATATATACACTATGCATGCTTGTGCACATTGGCGTGCATACACATGAAGTTGCAATCTTTTGGCTTGTGTTGGTTTGCGCGTGAAGAATCGTGAAAACACCTGGCTATGCACGCATCCATGGAGTGAACATCAGGTGTCGCACATTTATTGTATAATTATCATTCATGTGGGCTGGCAGGACTACACCTGCTCATGCTAAACGGTCAGGCCTTCTGCTTCCCCTGGTGCCTGACAAGCGTGGCACAATAAAATGAGAAGGATTGGCAACACTGCCATTCACTTATATATTGCAACTCATCCCTATGTCTTTGTGTCAACTCTTTGCAGGAGCCCAACATAACGGAAGTGGCAAACTGAGGAGTGCAAACCAGATTCATGTCAGGTGAACAGGTGCAGTAGAACATATCACTGATGCTAAGGAATGCTAAGGACACTGTTTGAGAGGCAGCTCGTGATCAAACAACTGTCATGTCAAGGATTCACAAAGAAGATCCAAGAAGTGCTTCTTTTGATGGGAGTTTCACCCTTTGTCTTCTTGATCGATTGATGAGATGCTCATTGACTTCCCCGGGCAAGCATTCCTGTGATATAGACCGAGACCGCTCGAAAGAAAACTCCCATTCAATCCACGGCCTGCCAAAGTTTGATTTCAGGGAAGTGGAAGTGTACAACATCCAGATTTCTCTGTCAAAACTATATATAGTCACTAGTCTGTGCCAAGGTTTTTAGGAAGCCTTTTTGGGCCACCGCAGGTGGACCATAGCTGCCATAGCTCAATATGTCCCGATTGAATGTATCTATATAAATTGAAGTAGCAAATCCAATGAAAGTTAAAACAAAAGCATCCTCATCATCCTCACCCAAACCCATCCCCTGCGTGTGACTTGAGGCTCGAGCGTAGTGAAGGTCGCCTTGCCGTGGCGCTTTCCAGTCTGCCAGCCTCCTTCGTAGACCTGGGGGAATGCAGGAGCAGGATAGTGATTTCGAGTGAGCGCGAGAGGGATGTTCCTCGTCTAGTGGCCTCTATAAGAGGACATGCAACGAACCCTGTGTCCTCTTGTCCTCCTGTCCTCCTGCCCAGTGCTGTGCTCTAACTACGCTGGCAAACCCTGTGGCCTCCTTTTATCCCTCAACCTTGTGCCCTTCTCTTATCCTCTACCCTGCATCGTCCTCCTCCTGTCCTCTGGCCGCTCGAACCCTGTTGAACATGACTGCCGAGCTGCATTGCTTGTTCCTTCTGGTGGGCTTGCTGGTTTGCTGCTGTTGGTTGCTGCTGGCGTGCTTGGTTTGCCGCTATTGTGTTGTTTTTGATGCTGATGCGCTGCTGCTTCTGCTGTTAGTTTACTGGTGGGCTGCTGCTAGTGTGCTGGGTTGCTGCCGGTGTGCTGGTGTGCTATAGTGCTATAGTGCATTGTCTGCTGGAAGCATGCCTACGGGTCGCTTCGGGCAATTTCCTTCTAGACGTCATTTGCAGTGTGTTCATACACAGCCTCTTGGTATTTGTACTTGTCAACTGCTCCTTGCCTCTTGCCTTTTTACTAGGACTAGGACCTGCATGCAGGTGCACTCACATTGTCTCTGAACTGTTCAAGAAGCGCCGGCATGCTAGCCCGGTCTGGCACTTACTTCCTACGTCTTGTTGTTTACATCGGAGACGCAAATGTGAATCACAGTTTAACTGTACTCTAAGTCTGTTGGACTTTTGCCCGGCTCATCGCGGAGCTCAGAGTAGCTCTGCAAACAAGATTCACAAGCTTATCGGCCAAGCTTACTGGCACCAAGGTCCTTATTGTGGCAGTTTCCCGGAGTTTAACTGACAGCGATCTCCTGTACTGGCAGCGATCTCCGGTTTGGAAACGGCCGAGAATGGTCTGAACGTGTTTCACTTTCGCTTCAGACCAGAAGCAGGATGGGTTCGGACTTTCACATTGAGAAGAAATATGAAGCAATTACTGACGGCACACCTGCCAATCCAGCATACAAGGCTACTGAGATCTCTCCTCTTCAAACAGGTCTGGAGACTTACTGTATATGCGAGGTTTCTCGGTTCACATGATCAAATCATGTTCTGATATGATCTGATATGTTCTGTTCTCCTGTCTCCTCGCCACTTTACGCATCTGTCGCATCTCGCGTTGCAAGCTGAAACATGATAAACATGTAACATGTGCTACCGCATGCAACCCCCCTCTTGTGGTTTTGCACATTGCCTCACACAGCTGTTAGCTGTCCTAGGCCTTAGGCGACTTTTGAGCTGGTTCACTTTGGGTTCACCAAGGCGTTCATTCAAATCATTGAAGGCCTGGGCAACTTGCCTTGACATCTGAACCCTTCCTCTCACCATTTGCCTGCTTATTGCTTATTGTGCCATCCAAGACGTCAAGCAAACATTGAGCCATGTCCACAAGCACAGCGCGCCGCGTTTTTCAATTGATTACCGATGACTTCAAAAAGTCGTTTCACAGTGTAACGTTTCCAACTGCTAGCTTCTGGTGCGGTTGGCACATTGGGCTCAGACCCATGCATACATATATGTATACATATATAGATTTATGTATGTATACCTATGCCTACACGGCCTACACACATGTATGTTTATATGTATATATT